TCATCATCATCATCATCAACGACAGCATGACATCAGTGCTCAACACCAATGCTTCACTGCCGTACAGCCATGACTTATTTGAAAGCCTTATTGTGAAGAAAAGAATAAAGGTGGATGGGGGAGGGACTTAGTGCTAGCTTAACACAATCATTCCGAGGTGCCTACACCTCAAGACATTCACTCAGGCAATCTGGACAGAAACTGACAACAAGAACGCCACTGACATCGGTTGGCAGCCATATCTTGTAGTGACATGACAAAACGATGCGGCTGTCGGAAATGGCACATAAACCTAGTGTACCGGACTGTGTATATATTTTAACCTTCCTGGAGAGTGTTCTCCGTCGGTTACAGAATGTGCAAGTCGCCCAAGGGAACGCCGATTCTCAGGAGACCAGATGATTACCAAATCACCGTCATTTTAGAGGGGATACTCTTCTACATTAACCGACTTTGGGAGATCTCGTCAAAGTTCTGTTGGTTTCACCTTTCCTTGTAAGAGAAGCTATGGAGCTCATGTTCTCACGTGACCAGCTAAATGTTCTTCCCCAACTGTCAAAGGGAAGCGAAATTCAAGGCGCGACACTGGGCCTAACAAGCCAACGGCTCATTCAAGCACCTGAATGGTTGTGAAAGCTCAGAACGCTTGACATGGACACTCGCTAATCTTCCCGAGGACCTAATAATGACCAAGCTATGGGCTTGGAACTGCACGTTTATCACTATACCTCACCTACAAGCAACGTGTCGCGATAGCCCGTAGAGTGACAACCCCTCAGAAGCTACCATTTCGGATACGTAAACTATCTTCGGACGGTCAAAGTACAAACTTGGAGGGGTATACAGGAACCGAGCTATGGAACGGACGACCGAATCTCACTATCTTCCATACGGCACGAAGTAGTTGGAGGCCTCGCCTAGCTATCACCCAACATAGCATACAACAGCGCTAATCAGGTCTCGTCATTTTAAGCTCGCAGAAGTCGATCGCGGGGTGACTCAAGCACTGACATTAGCTGTCATAATAATCCAGCGCATGCGTGGCCCCTTCCTTTCCCAACTCCGAGTACTTGAGCAAAAACACCCTACTATGGTCGGTAGCACACGGTTGTGCGCGGAAAACACTCACAACGGTTCAGTATAAGCAGGTTGAAGGTTAGTGTTCTTAGGACCGATAGTTCATCAAACTCGTCACATCGTCTGGCAACCAAAGACCATCAGGCAGCATGTCATACATACATAGGCATATAAATTTACAACTGCACCGACAGTACAGCAGATTATTTTAGTGGAAAACACACCTCGCAAACGAAAATCTGTAGGTAGTAGGAATAAGACGCGGGTGCAAACACCAGCAGCTTTGAATGTAGCGAACTGAATATGGTTAGACGGAGCAGTCTGTCATTGCGAATCGGTCTGGTGCTAAACCATCGGAGCAAACGTTAAAGCTAACGACTATCTGTTACGTGTTCTTCTGGATACAATAAAGCATTTACACTAAACTGGTAGCGGACGAGACCACAAAACCTTTATTGGTTCGATTTAGTACGCCAAATGGCAGTACGGATTACGATAAACAGTAGCCGAAATTGCGTCAAAAGGTGTCGAGCAATAAAGTATTGCGCTGTTGGCAACCCGTTGCTCATCTCGTTCTCTAAGACCTCCAGCCAATTGAAC